CACGCTGATAAGTTAAGTATGCTGCTTCAGATTCTTTCCCAGTCCTTACTGAACACTGCTGAGCTTTCTTCTTGGTTAAGGGTCTTGCTTACAGTTCTCTTATCTCCTAGGAGTCTTTCAACAATGTAAAACAGTGGCTGCAGGAGATAGACCGTTATGCCAGTGAAAATGTCAACAAGTTGTTGGTGGGGAACAAATGTGATCTGACCACAAAGAAAGTAGTAGACTATACAACAGCAAAGGTATGTTGATATTAATGTGTATTTGCTTGACTGAGCACCTAGTCTGGATTGTAATGCACTTGAGTAAGTTCTAGTGCAGACTCAGTGCACAAATGTCAAGGTACCATAAATGCAAGCAGTTTAATGACCCTCTGCTGTGCAGGTTGCAGTCAGATGGGAGTTTGGGAGTGGGGCAGTGGTCTAGGAACGTGTGGCTTATCCAGCAGTGTGCCAGGGGATGTGGTGAGGTATGAACCAGTGTATGAGCTTACTGTTCACTGTTTCTCAATTTTCAGGAATTTGCAGATTCTCTTGGAATTCCGTTTTTGGAAACCAGTGCAAAGAATGCCACAAACGTAGAACAGTCTTTCATGACCATGGCTGCTGAGATTAAAAAACGAATGGGTCCGGGAGCAACAGCTGGTGGTGCAGAGAAGTCCAATGTTAAAATTCAGAGCACTCCAGTCAAGCAGTCTAGTGGAGGTTGCTGCTAAAACTTGCCTCCCCCTTTTGTCTCACAACAATGAATTTGCAATCTGAACCCAAGTGAAAAAAAATAAAAAAATTGCCTGAATTGTACTGTATGTAGCTGCACTACAACAGATTCTTACCGTCTCCACAAAGGTCAGAGATTGTAAATGGTCAATACTGACTCTTTTTATTCCCTTGACTCAAGACAGCTAACTTCATTTTCAGAACTGTTTTAAACCTTTGTGTGCTGGTTTATAAACGTGTAATCCTTGTTGCTTTTCCTGATACCAGACTGTTTCCTGTGGTTGGTTAGGATGTATTTTTGTTTTGATGTTTCTATTGGCATGTTTAGACGTCAGGTTTAGTCTTCTGAAGATGAAGTTTAGCCATTTTGTATCAAACAGCACAACAGTGTCTGTCACTTTCCATGCATAAAATTTAGTAAGATATATGTAAGATCTGATTTGCTAGTTCCTTCTTGTAGAATTATAAATGGAAAGATCACACTATCTGATTAATAGTTTCTTCATACTCTGCATATAATTTGTGGCTGCAGAATATTGTAATTTGTTGCACAATATGTAACAAAACTGAAGAAATGTTTAATAAATATTGTACTTATTGGAAGTAATATCCAGCTGTATGGTGATAAATATTGTCTGAATTTGTATGGCTAAGGGGGAAATCAGGCTTGCATTGTGCACAAAACATATCTGTGTGCAGCCATGGTTCTCAGACTTTCTAGTAGACCAGAGACCTTCCCTGCAAGTAAAGTGAGTGACTGTGGTCCTAAAGGCTGAGCTGTCATGGTGCTTAAGGCACTTGTGCTGTACCGGAGCCACTCAGCCAATGTTCCTGGAGGCACAATGCACTCTGAATGTACAACAGTTCCCTAACTTAGTCTTGGAACTTAATTTATTTCTCAAGGACTCTATTTGGAGAATTTCTGTCTGCTTTGTGTAGGAGGGGAGAGAACAGTATTTCCCTAATGTGAATGACTTCACCATAACCTTGAGGCGGTATAACTTTCTACCAGTATAGTACGTCTTTTCTACCTACTGTTGATTTCATCCTCTTTTAATCAATACTCTTCTGACTTAGTGCAACAGCTTAGGTTCTATTCTGTTGTGTGTAGAGGCATCACAAGGACAAGAAGGACAGTAAGGCCCCACAACAGACTCTGTTGCTCGAAGTAGGCACTATCTTGAACAATTTGGAACTAACCAGCAGCCCAGAGATTTTGGACAGTGTGTGATTCTTTGTACAGAGCTAATCAAATCATTAGTGCCTGATGTCTAGCTAAAAGCCACAGGAAAGCTAGCCTATAACACTTCCTATACATGTAAAATTGTTCAGCTTTATCTAAACTCAAATGTTCAGCCTATTCTGTAAATAGCCTCATGTTTGAAAGACCATGTAACATTCCCCTAGTAGTAAATACACCCTGTGATAGTAAAAATATAGCCTAGGTATGTTGTGAGGTATAAACTAAAATCGGTGCAAATATCCTCTGATCTTTTTTTTTTTTTGAGGGGGGGATGACTTTGGCTAACAGCTTTCTTCAACATAGTTGCATCAATCAACAGGCAATTGTAATACATAAACTATTGTCATGGTTAAGTTGAACTCTTCCACTTGAGACCTTCACAATAAAGTGATGTGCTTTCTATTAGAGATGTGCTTGTTGGTATAATTCATTATATCATGTGGCTTGCTCCTCCCGGAGAGTTAGAGCAGTAGGAGTAGCAAGTGCTGCTAAGATCAGGAAGTGAACCAGAAGGAGGTGTATTGAGGGTAAAACATCTTCCCTTCGGAGAAGTGCACAAATGAACTTAAATGTCAAGATGCCTGCTACATACTATCCAAAACAATGTTAATATATAAAGTAATAAAAGCATTGCAAAACCAACTTGGGCTACACCAGTTGTTTGGTGTTTGTTTGGGGGTTTTTTAAATGTTTTGTTTTTACTCTTTTTTTTTTTCCCCTGAAGTTGTTACTGTGCTGCTGCTGGAAGTGTGTGGGAGAGGGTAAAGCAGGCCTAAAAATCCTGAATGAGGGCACTGTAGTCTCTTAGCTGTGAGCTGAAATATTCAATACCTTAAGGATGAGCCTTGCAAGTGGTAGCAAGGGGGCAGCTGGGGCCTTTCTGTGCATGGAACTCCTGTCCTGCCCCGCTGCAGGCTTTAAGCATTACCTGAATGCTCATAGGCACAGGAGTTGGGTGTAGGTAAAGCCAGGGAGACCAGGCCCCCTGGAACCATTTGCTTGAGCCTTTTTTTTGAACTTACCTTTAAATTGTCACCTGCAGCTTGGCAATTAAAAAAAAATTGCCCTTTAAGCTGAGGAGGTGGAAGATGGGGGAATATTAAAAAAAAACACAACCCACAAAAGTAAATGAATTCTTTGTCATCTATAACTGCTGCAGTGTAACTGTGCTTTTTCCCTTGGGCTTGTGCAGTACGGAAACTTAACTTTGTTCTGTTCCCAAGAATGGGAGGAAGTGATGTGTGCTGCACAGGAACATGATGATCACCATTTAGCTTAAAGGTTAATTAAAGCCAAGTACCAACATTGTGTGGTTGGCTGTAACTTTTTTGGCCAATTAACCTTGTTAAGTTGCTTCAGAGGTGTTCTTTTTTGTTGTGGAAAGGGTTTGGAAACCCGTTTGGGATGAGCAGTGATTAAGTACACCTGCTGCAAGAGGGAAGGCACAACTCCTCACCCAGGAAAACCAGCACAGCGTTACCATGACCACTGCAAGGAATGGGTAACAGCTCTTTGTACATAACCTGGGTCTGCCCTGGGCCTACTCACCTCTATTATTTTATCGAGATTCATATAGCATATTGGCTCTTGGTGTTTATGCAGAAGAAAACTGAAAGTTAAACTGAAAGTTAAATAGACTGCTTCAGCAGGGAATGGTGACTCTCAACAGGAGTGCAGTTTGCTCCTGAGAGCCAGAAGGATTTGCTGTTTCTTGGCTTCTAGCACCTATTTTTGAAGAGCATAAACAAAGCATGAGAACACAGCTATTAAAATCACACAGCTTTACTTGGAAGTGAGTTGCACAGCACACTATGGATTACTTGGTTAAAAACCAGTGTGTTTTTGATGTTTTGCTAACATGTGGAACAGGCCACTTTGATAAAAAAGGAAAGCTACATTAAAACAAACAAAAAAAGGTCAGGTGTCCATTCCTCACAGAACTCCCCAGCGTAGCCAGCACTGTTAACTGCATGTCCCAGGAGCCAAATGGCTGCTGCACAGCTTGCCTTTCTCAAGCCACAGTGGAAAACCAAACCGAGCTCAGGCCAGGCTGGCCAACGCCGACTGCAGTGACTGTATGGATCTGCAGGAGGTGAGTGAGGTGCTCTGGTGCTTGCTGTGGCTCCTCTCAGCCATCCTGGGGCTGGCTAACGAAGCCCAGGTCTGACAGAGGCAGCACCTGAAATAAAATGCATTAATACTGTGCTTTTGCTGCAATCCAACAAACAAACCCACTCCCTTGCCCCACCACTACCAACCCCCCATGTTACACTTAAATCACGTTCACATGCGCTTGGTAGTGTACAGGATAGAGTTATGTATATTTAGTGATTTAAAAACAAACCTACATAAGATACTGTTACTCTCCTCTAAAGTGCTGGAAATAATTATTCCCCTTTGCAATACCAAATTTTAAGGCATGCCGTGAAGTGGGCCATGGGGAAATCAGCAGTCTGAGTTAATGGGGGTAGGAGGGTGGGGAGAGGCAGGGCGAGGTTATCCTGCAGTTCCTAAATTCCTACCTCTTGGTGCGCAGCAGCTGTTAGGAGCCTTCCTGCAACTCTGGACCCAGTGCCTTGCTAACACCCAAGAATGTTTTGTACAGACGCGGCTTTATAGTGATCACTTTATCACTGCGTAAGTGGCCGAGAGATGTGGCAGCTCACAGCTGCCCCCATTTACACTGCCACCACTGCCCTCAAATATCACACACCCCTCCACCCCTTTACGTTAACATTCCACCGTGCCCTCCTGAAACACTGCAGTTTTATTTGAAGGAAGATGTTAAAGAAATCAGCAAAGAAGGTTTCTAACATCTGAATCAATTCCCTTTCCTGCCATGAGATGGCTAACAGAACTTTTCTTTGAAAAAACAAACAAAAAATACCCCTTTCCCATCTTCCCTCTGCTGTGCAAGTGATTTCAGCAGAGCAGCTGTCTGTGCCGGACGGCTGCTGTCCCCTGCACCTGCCCGACAGTGACCTGCCAGCTCCCCTAAAGGCGCTGCCGTGGCCTTCAGCAGGCTCTTGGGTTTCATCAGCTGGGTCACCTCCACCTTCTCGTCCCATGACACACGTTTAAAGACAATGGGGCATCCATCTTCAGATCGCCTTTACTCTTAGGCTTTTCAAACATCAGATTAAAAGAAATTATACTAAAGCCCGTGCTTGCTAATTTCAGTGTTGATCTTCCTACACCTCCCTTCATCTTCCCCCCTCTGCAGAAAGGCTGGTTTGCCCCCCACTCCACTCACCCACTGAACAGCTGGCTGCTGCACCCCCTTGTCCTCCATCCCGTCTTTGCCCTGCACGGGACCCACGGCAGCCAGAGCAGACTCATACAAGTGCTCCGCACGTGTTTCCAGCTCTTCTGACTGTTTCACAATCAAACCCAGCGTGTCTTTCAGAACTGGAAAGCAAAACATACGGTGGAGGCAGCAGTAATGTGACAATTCAATGTCTGGAAGAGCAATAGGAGAGAGTTCCACTCTCCCAGACAGACTTTTTGAAGGAAATAAAGTGTTAGAAATCAATAAGCTGATCTTCATCCCATCCAAGTTGTGATGCAGTTTGAAGAGGGTGGGAAGTGACTCAGGAGCCCCTAGGCTAAGAGCAAAGATACAGAAATAGAAGCTCCCACAGGGAACCTCTGAGGCTGTGTAAGAACGCCCACCCATACTGCAGCACTCAACCACTGAAGCTCTTCTGGTGACTGCAGACGCAGCCTGCCCTTTAGAAACCCCTTGTGCAGGATGCACCACATCACCAGCACAACTGCTCCATGCTTGCCATGCCACCAGAAGGCTGGGCTGTCTCCCCAAATTGGCTGCTGCCACCTGCTCTGGGATGCACTAAGTGCAAGCAGGGTGTGAAAACCACCTCTTGCATTGGACAAAAGCATCTCCTCCCAGCTGCATGCCAACAGCATCCCACAGCCCCATGGGAGCTGACCACACTGCAGGATAAAAACCTAAGGGACCCATAAGAAGCAGCAATACCTCCATCACCCATGATGGATGGCATGGTGTAAGGCATGGGCAAGGGCCAAGGCACGGTGCAGCTGAAAGTGCTCAGGAGTGATCACTTCAAACTTCCCAAGTCACCTCACCTCCAAGTCTCCAGACAGCAATGGAGGTGTAAAACCCTTTTCATTCCCATACAGCTGCTCAATGGCAAACAGGGATTTCAGGGGGTGGACGCTATGACCAGCACCACCAGCTGTGCCCACAACCAGCCCTGCACAAGCACTCCTCCCCACCTGGGGAATTCGCTGCCATGCAGTCGAGGAGAGCTTCTCCCCTCTCCAGCACACTCTCCGTCAGGCTCCGGTGGTCAGCCACATCTTTCCTGAACTCCTGGGAAGGGAAGGAGAAGAAGAGCGCTGCTTTAGAAGGGTTTTTTTTGGAAGAGACACTTGCAGCAGGTTGTCTGGGGAGCAGTTTCCCCTAAGCAGGTTCCCAGTGTTCCCAAATTCAGCTTTGCACACCTGATGCACCCCACATCACCCACCTGGACTGTGCCAGCCATGTCTTACTTCGTGCTCCCAGCTGCCCGCAGCACCAAAGAGGGGGAAGAAAAGCCAGGGGTGATACCTACTGAATAGCGGTGCAGCGATGCCTTCGCACTCTCGGCACCCGTCGCTGCTGGGACCCAGCTGTTGGTGATGTCCGCGACGTCGTACAGCCAGTGAATCAGCTCTTCCAGCTGGCAGCAGAACATCTACTTAACGAAGCAGAACAAAAGGAGTTACTTATTTATTTCTGCAATGAAGATACGGCAGGTGCAGCAATAGGTGAGCCAGCAGGGTTTCAGAAAACCCCTGCTCCCTCCTGCTCTTCTGCAGCGGGGCCAGTGATGTGGTGTCCCCTCCCCTCAGCACACAAACATCCCTAAGCTTGGGAAACAAAGGGTCAACAATTAAAAAAAGAGAAAAAAGAAAAGGGGGGAAAAAAAAAGACAAAAAGCAAAGTAAACCCCTAAACACACCCTAAAACCACAGTGTGGCAAGAATTGAGGGTCACCATGTAATGGCTGGGATGGGGAGGTGTCAGAAGCCAGTGGCACCGAGGCTGAAGGAAGGGGTTTGCCTGCACCACCTCCCAGCCAAAGAGACACCCTCCTCCTCACTGGAACCACACAGTTAATTTGCAGTTGCTTTTCCCCAGGGGTTTGTCTTGTTCAATTAAGTGCTTCCATTTATTTTTAAAGCGTCTCGGTAAGGGATTATTTTTGTAAGATGCTGTACAAACCCCAGAGGCTTCTGCTCTCACTGGAACCAGACTCTAGCCCTGCTCCTTGAGAGTTGGGGTTTTGCTACAAAGCTGAGCTGCTTCTCGCTGGCATCATGATGTGGGGTGACAGGTACACCCTAAAGCTGACCCTTTTAAACTGGCAGTGTTATTCCTACACAGGAGGGGGGATAAGTTGCACTGGTGTTTGCTGCTAGGTGCACAGCAATGATTATTCTCTTGCAAACAGCCCAGCATTGCTTTCAAATTCAGGCTGGTGCTGAGGTGGGGAGGGAGATGGAGAGCAATCCCTGCTGGGTGGGAGCACACCACCAGTGGCAGGATGGCTACGAAGCATCACTTGCCTGAAAAATAAAAATTCACAAAATAATCAGGAAACTCTTCAGAAAAACCCCACCAGTTCTGCCTGGTCCCTTCAGTAGGACCCAGCCCAGTGAAGCTGAGTGAGCCCAGGCTGAAGGGCAAGGCTGATCACACCGCACTAAGCAGCCGGCGAGATGGGGCGAGCAGCGAATGCCAGGTTTCATTCTGCTCCAGCTCCAACCATGGCCCTCACATCTTCCCTGGCGCAGCAGTGCTGTGGGCTGGGGGAAGCAGAGTGCCACATTTCCACTGAGCCCAGCATGGTGATGCTGAGCCCCAGGAAAGGCGAGGGGGGCTCTTGCTCCTTCAGAAGAAATTATCTGCTCTGATGAGCCTCCCTACACAAATTACAATCAGCTGCCAGGCATTGAACATCATGCAGAAGGGAAAACCTTAAATAGGCCATAAACACAGGCACATTTTATGCAAGTTTTTCCCATAATAAACTTTATTTCTGGTATCAGCCTACCTTAATGCACTGGGCAAGGGACTCACTCTCCTGGCTCTTCTTCAGATGCCCCTTGACCCATGGCTCATTTCGGCACGTCCCATCCAACGTGTCCTCAAGACCGGTTGGTAGATGAAGCCCCCGCAGAGGATCCCTAGGGATCCGGCCACACGATTCAGTGTTTTCCCAGCTGGGCTTTTGAGATGGGTGCCACAGCCCAGCATAATCCTCAACATTCCGTCTTTCGTCCCTGTCACCTGCTTCCCCAGAAAGAGCCACCTCAGATGAGAGGGGCTGCCTGCAGTTGCTGTGACGTGGAGGGTTGCAGTGGTCCTGCCTGGGTGTCCTTATAGTTAAGGAAAGACTGGACAAAAACTGAGCCAGTCTTTCCAGCTCCTGCAGCCTTGGAGGCAGGGAGAGGAATTCTTCATCACCCTCCCAGTCTCGCCTCAGGGGGAGCACTCGTGTTGTAGGTAAAAACCCATTAGTGCTTTCTGCCTGCCTTTTGTAGCCTGGGCCGGGGCTCCCCCTGGGGCACCAGCTTCTCCCATCCACAGCAGGGCAGCCAGATAAGCCCGGCCCAGCTGACTCGGGCATTACATCCTTAGCAAAACCTCTGGAAGGATGAAAGGAAGCACTCTTTGTCAAGGATGTTTTTGCAATAGGTAAAGGTTCATAGTATGAGCCAGCTCCTGAGCAGCCCCTTTTTCCAGGCCCTGGGGTGGAGTACTTCTCTGCAGAGGCCATGAACCTCTGATGTCCATTTTCTCTGCCTCCCTGAGCCTTGTCACCTCGGCCGTAGATGCTGGTGGACCTTGACGTACCTGCAGGGGAAACAGAAAAGCTGTCCAAATCTATTCCTGAGTCATGGAGGAAAGGCTCCGGCATCTTTCCCAGCTTGTATGTTGGCTTCAGAGGATAAGCATAATCCAGCAAATCCTCGTACTCTTTATTGGGGTTCCAGTGGGGCGAGTGACGGTTGGGGGATGGAGGTAACGAATCCGGTATGGTGCACACCCAGTAATTGGCTTGGTAGGACGACATCTCTCTGATGCGCCCCATGGTGGTGCGGTCATCACACAGAAGGTTGAAGGGCTTGTGCACCCATGGTGCCCTGCCCTCTGCCGCACCCCACCGACAGTATGGGTCCTGGGTGGCACCGGCCACAGGAGAAGGCATGTCCACACTGGCTGGCAAGATTTGGGATTGCTCTTTGGAGAGGCCATTTCCTTCTGAAGACAGAGTAGAGAAGCTTGATGCGGAGTGGTTCTGCAGGGCACTCTCGGGGCTGAGGGGGGTTTGGGGCTGCAGGAGCTCCGGGGTGGAGGAAAATGGGGATTGAGATGCCAGCCTTTGGCTCCACTGGCTGGCATGGGCATGGTGGCAGCTGGCAGCAAGGATGCTCTCCTCTGCAGAGTTGCATCGGCTGGGAGGGCTGGACACCAGGTCGCAACAGCCCAATGCCTTCACCTGGAGGGAAAAAGGAAAGGGAGAGAGAGAGAGATGCATAAAATGAAACACAGCATCCAGACAAAAGGCTCCTTTGTACTAGGACATGGAGAGAAAAGCCCTGCCCTGGACCCACTGTGAGGAAAGGCTGGGAGGGGAATTCTGTTCTGTCTGTGGGACAGCATGCAGCTGTCCAGAGCCCAGAGCGGGGCTTGTTTAAGAGAAGGCATCCAAGGGCTTGGGAAGCTGCATGAGTCATTTGGCAGCAAGAGACACTCAGTTAAGGCAATATGAGAATTGAGGCAATGGCTCAGGTATTGGAGCCCGAGCCCGAGCCCTTCCCCACCGCACAGCTCAGCCTGGGGCTGGGGTGGGTGCACTCTGGCTGGAGGAGATGGAAAGCTGTTGCTGGGACAGCCCAGACAAACAATTCCCCACCTCACCTGCGACCACCTGATGATGCAGTGACACCTGTACACCTGTGTGTACAACCCTCTCACCTGCTGTTCTTCTGAGGAGAGGAACCGGTGGCCAACACGATGAGACCCATCACCACCATCAGCGGCTCTACCAATTAACATCTCTGTCTCCGAGAGGCTTGCTCTTGCTCTGGAAAATCTGGATGTGGATGCTAAAGACACTTCTTGGCAGTAACTCAAGCCTCCCTGGGTAACACCAGTGGCCAAGTGACTGCATCCACTCACTGCCACGCTCTCCATCCCTCGCAGGCAGGGCTTGGCTTCCTCTGCCTCTAAAAGCCAGCGTGGGCTGTTCACTAGCTCCGCGTAGTCAGTCTCCACCTCTGTGGAGTCCCATCTGTCATCACCCTCGGGCTTCCTGCTCAGCAAGCCCTCAGAAAGGGACTTTCCCACATCCATGGCCATCGGGACAGAAGTTCTTCTGCAAGACGATGCCAAGCCTCAGGCTCTCTGAAATACACAACATAGGGTAGCAGCAACTCACCATCTCCCTGCGTCTCCATGCCATGTGAAGAAACTGGGTATATCTAATAACAAAAAGCTTAAGCATGTTCTTGGTTGGACTCCAAAAATCATAAAGTTGCATCTTGGTGCGTCAAGTGGGAGAGAGGAAAGAGCAAACATTCACATCTCAGTAGCGTTTTCTGGTTTGGAGGACATGTCACACAGGGAAAATCTAATTAAAGCTCTGGTCGCACAGAGAACAAACCTGTGCTTTACACCTTGCTGGTATGGTGCAACTGTCTCCCAGATTAATGGCCAATCTCACAAGCAGTCTGTGCACCATGAAGTGACTGGGCTTGAATTAGACATCATTTACTAGGACACAAAGCACCTATTAGCATTGCTGAGCCCTGAAGGCCGTTGGTGTGGAAAGTTGAGGCGTTTTTTAAGAGATAAACTCAAAACCTTGAAATGGAAGTGAAGTGAGAAGTATATATGAAAAATTAGAGGGGGAGGTAGGACGCTGTAAAACCCAAACTTGATGCTTAGTTCTGCAGCTTCTACCTCAGTTCATGAAATTAACTCTTTGTGAAATTCATTAATGGAAATACTTGCTCAACCACTGACACATTTTCAAGCGTGCTGTACAGCCAAGTCCATTGCATTTTGCTGCAAATCCTTTTAACAGGAGATATTACTCCTGAAGCTGGAGCTCCGAGTGCTCCACACACAGAGATGCTCCACCACCACCCTCTCGCCGCCCATGCTGGACTCAAGCAAGGAGCTGCAGCAGGAAAAGGCAGAGCCAAATCCAGAAGACCCAATATAGCATACAGGAGACTGTTTTGCGAACAGCAGCCAGACCCAAGCGTCTCTGCTTGCATTTTCTAAGCTAGCAGGACTCAAAAAGACTCTCAACACAGATGAAACCTTGCAGGCTCCTCGCAGAGCATTGCAATTGGCACTGCCAAAACCCCCATGCTCAGGCACAGGTCTCTGCAGAGCCCCTCACGGCAATATTGAGCCCTCTTCCAGCAACTCCAGTCCAAAACTGTGCCAGCATTAGGAAAACACCAGCAGAGTGGTTTTGCCGATAACACCCCGGTGGGTAGAGGCGTACCGGGTGGAGAGGCCAGCACCCTTGAGCGTCAAGAGCAAACTCAACTTAAAAAGGAGGAAAGAAAAAGTCTTCCCAAACAGTACTTGGAAGCAGGAAACAAACTGATACTCACACCCTCTGTCAGCTCTTTTGTCGCGATCTCGCTTTAGGATCCACCCCTCCAGCAACAGGGGTTTTCTCATGGGCAGAGCCCATGCACAGAACAAAGCGCGGCAGGGCGGTGCGCCGGGTCTCCAGGGGAGACCGAATTCCCGGCACAACGCGCAGCCGGCACCGTGGCCGCCTTCCCCCTCCCCAAGAGCCGGCAGCCCACGCGATTGCAGGGCAGCTGTATTCAGTACTCAGCACAGCCGCAGCTGCGGGGCATACGAGCACAGCTCGGGCTCTCCCAGCCCTCCACGCAAGCTGTGTCCCTCTGCTGACACCTCTGCTCACCCACTCGGTCACCTGAGTTGCCACCAAATACAGCTCTGTGCAGGTCACATTATCCTAAAATCGATGGTATTGCTCTCTTTCCCCCCTCCCAAAAAAAGCTGTCAAAAAAATCCCAAACAAAAAGGCACGGTAATTGCAAGAAAAGTAGCTAGTAAACCTACTCCCACTAAATTCTTGTACAATATATCATAAAAACACATGTAAGTCTGTATTTTGCTTAACAGAAGGTAGATTTCTGTTAAACAGAAATCCCAGACCACTAACAGTATCCCAAACCACTCACACACCCATGTGTTTCATATGCAGTGTGTGTGTGATTTCGTCACATATCCATCACACAGATTTTAAGGCAAATGGCCTTTGAGCCCCAGGATGCAGCCCCCTGTTACCTGCCAGCCTGCACTGACTCCCATTCAGTCACTCTTAGTTGGTTTCCTTTAGACAGTCATGCAAGCAAGTATTAGTGAAGCAAATGCCAAAAGGTCAAATCCAACTTAAGGGTGATTTAAATGCCCAGAAAATTCCCTGAGATACACTTGTTTACTGGCTTTAAAGCCAGGGCCCTGTCCGCAAGGAGAAACGATGCTTGCTGGTTGCGTTCCTCCTCCTCCAACTAAAACCTACTGAGCAAAAAGCTGCAGGGCGATCAATCGTGAAGTACGGTGTACTAAATCCCAGGATCCGTTTCAGAGTCACGCAGGCTGCTTCAGCTTCACCGTGCTGGGGGCAAGTGATGCAGCAGAGAACATCACTAGTTACCACAACGTGAATGGGCAGATCACTGGCTCTAATCCCTCCTTGCATGCACCGGCAGAGCTGTACACCCAAAAATGAGCTGGTAAATAGAATTCTTAACAGAGCAGAGGGCGCTGGACACTCACAGTTTAGGACATAAACGACTCAACAATCAGCTTGGTTGTTGGGTAGTGATTTTAAAAATATATAAGCGAAACAGAAAAGCTTAACAAGGCATCAAAACAGACTTTAAAGTTTTAAATTGAATGTGCAGTAATTAACGATCAACCTCAATACCCTTTATTTTTAAAAGATGTCATGTTAAATTCAAAGTGATGTTGAACATCATTATCTCCATCAGATTTTGTGGCTTGAGTCATGTGCCAGTCAGCCCAGCAAACACAACTATAAAAAACATATATAAGCTCAAATTTGTAAATTTATTCAAAACCTGTAAAGCATGTGTTAAGCAACATAAAAAAAGAAATTAGAGGTCACAACTCATCTGTTATTATGGTAATTGCACGCAGGGTTGAACTACTCTGAACATTCAAGACTCTGTTAATCTTATGGGTGCAGCATGCAGTAATATACATTTCCATGATGCCATCAGTCTTTAAAAAAAGAGCGAGTGCTGGTTCACAGGTTCATTAAATCTCCCAAAGCTAACTGGAAGCTAAAGAGAAACGAGGAAATTTGCCAATACACACGAGTGAGAGTAAATCTGCTTATTTCAGAATTTGTAAGGATATTCCTAGGGCCACAAGGGATTTCACTGCATTTTCAAAAGTCTCTTAATTCAGGAAGGGAATTTCAGCTAATTTCAGGGGCAGCTGGCCATACAACCACACTTGGATGTGAACCACATGGGGAAGTTGCACACATCCCATACACAGAACAGTCAGGCAAAAAGTCATATTTCCATACAGACTGAAAATGCTAATGCCACCAAGTGAAACTCCCAACTACAAGAGCATCTAGAAAATAAGGTTTCTCACCATTTTCCAACAAAACTGCAAAAATTCAGAGGTCAGGTTGCTGGTGGTGGCAATACATTGAGATTAACCCTCACGACAGGAAAAGGCCAGCCCAGGTCTTCATTCAGGACTGACACAGCTCTGCAGAGGGATGTATGACCACAGCTTTAGGCACGGTGGAGACTTTCCACTGGCCTTAAAACCACAGGAAAACAGCCAAAAATCCCAGCTACACCCAAGCCCTCAATTGTCTCACCAGCCGTGGAGTGGCACAGGAAGTGTACCCGCAGTCAAGTTTTTAGGTAAGAGATGAAGACAGTGGCCGTTTCATTCATTTCAATGCGGGAAGGTCCCCGGGGATCTCTCGAGAAAAGCGATCCCTCAACTTTTTCGCGTTCCCAGAAGGCACCTGCCAAAGAGCCGCACAAAACCCGGCGGACAACAGGAGCTCTGTCCAGCGAGCGCCGCCCCACGCCCGCGGGTATCGCCTGGCCGGCAGGGAGCAGCTGACACCGATAGAGTTTCCGTCTCCCACCAGCTCTGGTTTGACTGGGGAGAGGCTTTCTGTTGTTGTTTTGGGGAAAAAACACACCTCTTTCGCTTTTCAGGCCTGCGGAATATGGAGTTTGGGGGTTTTTTTGCTCCTTTTTTGCATGCTTTCTGCCCGAAAAACCTTTCTGCATCTTGAAAAAAAAGAAATAACGGCAAT